ATGCTTCATTTTATCACATATATATATATAATATATATATACATATAATGCTTCATTTTTAAAATCTTACATATACATTTGTTTTGTTACTAATAACATTTCTTATTAAATTATACACATTTCACACAAATAACGGAATAAATCTAGTTTTCCAGAATTAACTTCGCTGCTTGTCTAAAATTTGCTTATTGTCTATTATTAATTTGAACTATTGTCTCATGTTCTATCATATCATCGTACTTGTACCATGATTTCAAATTTGTATTTGTGTAAATAGTTAATATGTACATATATTCTTTTTTTAAGAAAATCTCTTAAAGATACATAAATCTATTCTATTATCATCTTTCTATATTCAATTTCCTTTACAATCTATTGTCTATATATAATCATAAAGAAAGATAGGGAAATCTATAAATCATTTTATTCAACATAGATATATTCGATTTAATATATAACATATGTATTACAGATATGAATGAAAAGATATCCTACAATGTAGTAGGTATGCAACACGATACATGTGGTCCCTTTATTAATTGTGGGATTACGAATATCTCTCATCTTTTCTAATACTAAAACAAAAATAATATATACACACACATATAGATATATATGCCGTGCCAGTGTAATCACAGTCTGTAGTTGTTTTACACTCCACCTTCACTTATCTAACATCTTCGGAAAAATTGAGCAAACTTATCTTCTATTATTCTATTATAAAATGAAAAACTGGTTTCTTGATCATTATACGATCAATAGATATCGAGTTACTCGTATCGACATCCGAAACACTCCGGATTGTCGCTCCGATTTCGTCATATAAGTGAAAGTGTAAATCAGTAAAGAAAATTAATCACCGATATATATATATATATATATATATATATGCGAATTACGGCAATTATACAGTGAAATAATATACTTGGAATGACACGTGCGCGCACACGTGTTAGTAGAAAAAATTCAAACTAAACTAATTTATTAAAAATCAGATATATATTGTACTATCTATTGCATTCGTTCAAACTGAAAATCCTAAAAAAATATGTTTAATGTTTAATTACGTTTAACACTTACAGCTCAATTGGAATAACAAAATTACATGTTCGAAATGCGTACTTTCAATACGCCGTATAACTGATACTAGACTTCAATTTTCTTTTACTGGCAGTGTTTATTCCACATCCTTTAAATAGTTTAATAGAATTTCGGACTCGTTGAGAAACGCACATTTAAATAACACAATATATATGTTTCAAATATATAATATATATGATTTATTTAAGATATTAAATTATGTAAGTTTGTAAGAAAGAACAATATAAACATGACGAAAAATTTATCGCAATAATGTAGACAATGACATAAGAATAATAAGTAATAATAATTAATAATTATGACAAATTAATAATGATTTAATAATGACGATGACAGTGATAATGATAATAATGATAATGTGATGATAATAATGATAATAAAATAATAATACTTATAACAGGTAACAATGCAGTCCTCTAGTTTTGCATAAAAAATTTTTTTATAACAATTTGGTTAATCTAGATGACTGCTTAAAAGTTGTCAGAGTATAAGTTCATAAATAATTTCATCAGTCACAGAATGGCAACTTGGACTCATTCCTGTCGTGGATTTAATACGATTTGGCACATAATAGTAAGCGCATAGACGCTACATTCTTTTCGTAATTTTCCAGATGAAATCAATAAGATGCCATTCTTAATTGCATATTTACATACATATTTATAAACACGCTTGTATAGCAAGAATGGCGAAGATAACTTAAGACAGTTGTCATTTCCTTCAATAATTAGAAGGATAATTAGGAGGCATTTTTCTTATAAATATATTCAACAATTAGAGCGCGCAATTATATCCGAAAATAAGTGTCGTGATGTGAGAAATGTAACGAGATGATTTATCAAAGTTAACTGTAGTTTTCCTCATGTTCCATACATTTCAAAAACGAAAAGAGATTCAGCTGACAGGCGATAAACAAGTATATCATGTAGCATTCGCATTTGGTATACATCCGTGTTTCGTCTTATTTTATATTAATTCGTGTCTTGAAAGAACGAACGACACTAAGGATCGCGGTGTGTGGTGGATTGAGGAGAATAAGACTGGGTCAGTTGGTGTTCTGTTTGTTAGAGCGAAGGCGAGCCAAGCCTGAACGTTCGCCCTCTTCTTCGTCGGACGTGCAAGGTACTACGCCACGTGACGATGTAGCCTGCATTAACTCTTGATCCGGGCCATTCCGATGCTCATACAATAAAATATTTAACGTTTCCTCGTATATCCGAGCCTCGGGGAATTCAACCTGAAAAAAGAAAAGCATTTTTAATTATCAAATATAATTTCAAAATCATATAAATTTTAAATCATAATTTAAAATTATTTGATCATGTCATTACCTTTGTATGTTTTTTATCGGTTGTATAAACAATCGAATGACAGCAGACTTCTGCTACTTTACGACCATGTCCATAAAATGTCCAACAACAGATCTCGCTTGAGCCAATAACGTCTTTGATGAATAACACTCTGCCACTGAATCTAAGCGACATTTTGTCGAATAGTTCTATGTTTTTTAATAGATTGTCATCTGATGTACTGTAAAAATTAAATTTATTAGTCCATTCTTATTCTTTAATAATCTTAATTTATGACAATAATACAGCTCTAATTACATACATTGTGATATTTCATTTATTTATCATTTTTTTCATGCATTTAAAATATTATCTATTAAAATTTAGCCAATATAAGCACATAGATTAATCGTGTGCAAAAATATATTAATAGACAATATTACAATATAGATGTTTCGACCCTTAATTTGGATCACCTTCAATATAGTATTAATAAATATTTCGCTAATAAATATTTCGCTTACAATAAAAACAGGTTATTGGAACGAATATCAAATCAGAGAACATTGTGAGACTAATATAAAGTTAACAGTAGAAATGAAAATAAAAAGTTAACAGTAGAAATGAAAATAAAAAGTTAACAATAGAATGTCTTCAGTATTGGACAGAATATTTTGAATCATGATTTGAATCCAAAGTTAAAATTGATAATTTCACAATGAATTTTCAGATAAAACTAAAACAAAATGAATACAATATACAAGAGGTTGTGAGCTACTATTTTAAGATATTAGTTTATGATACACTTAAATTATAGTTGCGTTCAGAGAACGCATTATCAGTGCATTCTTTTGTACCATTCTACTCTTATTTTATGTATAATGAAATGACTGATAAAAATAGAATGACGTTAATAGTGTGCTCTCTGAATGCAACATATAACTTTCTTTTAGCAGACACAGTCAACGAATGTTATTCTATTCTAATATTTAATGAATAACAATGAAGAATACTTCAATGATGAATACTTATGAATACTGTGCTAAAAAGAAAGTAGCCCAAGAGATACAATATTTTTATCAATCTCTCTTGTTATGCTTTAAATTGCTTGTATATTAACCCTAATCTATAATGTATTTTTTGCTTCCTGTATCTTGCTTTTTACTTCTTGCCTTCTCTTCCTTCGTAACTGGTTTTTTAGCAACAATTTTTTGTTTCTTTGGAAGTTTGTTAACTTTTACTCCGATGACAGAAAATGAGAAAACAGAGTAAGAAGCAAAAGGATAAGAGATACAAAATGACAAAAAGCAAGAAAACAAAGAGCATTAAGTTTTAATGAAAACGCTTAGATTGTAAATATTCATAAAAAATAAGAAAGGAATTTGAAATATCATAATATAAAAATATCTCTTGGATGACAGAAAACAAAGAAATAGAATAAGAAACAAGAGATAAGAAGAAATAAAAAGTAAAACAAGAAACAAAGAGTACATAGTAGATAAGGTTTTAATGCCATTATAAAATACTTGGATTTCAATTTATAAAAGATAAAGAAATAATAAAACATCAATATTTACAATTATAAAGTAACATTTAACATTACCTTGTATAGGAATATTTATTGTTATGCCTATTAATGAGCAGCTTGACCACAGGCTTAGTAGTATTGCTTATGAGTAATTGTTCTTCTTTTTGAGAGGTTATAAGAGGGACTCTGCAGATTGGCTCTGCTTCACGTTCTTTTCGTAGAAGCGCCTGTTCGCAGGACTCTGCTAGCTCGCTGATACAGTAATATTTTGCCTCTGCGAGCAATTCAGCCATCTCCTTCGTATTTTCTGGCAGCGGAACCGAGCCGTCTCGCAAAAAGTTCAAGATAGTTCCGAAATGTTTGCCACACCGATCAATCAATATCCAACCTATGGAGAGAGGTCGTGGTCAGTGGAAGATATAAACAAAATAACAAAAGATGAAATGTTCAAAATACTTAGGAAACAACGCAAGAAGTCCACACAATCCCTTCTTTTCAAATCAAACAAATTCGTGCTCCCACACACTCCAATCACATTAAAATGATGAATCTTGATTAGGATCGCAGGACCGATCGATATTCAAGGTTCATCAATTTCAAGTCAACATTCGTCGGAAATTGCATGTCTTACGTTGTAAAAAGAAGCATCTCACCTTCGGAGTCGGTGAGCACTTCCATGCGACCGCTGAACATTGCTCGCAGCATAGTATCATGCTTCTGCAAGGTACCTATGGTAGTGTAATGAAGCGAGCCTCCGATGTTCAATTTGACATATTCCGACGGGTATTTAATTTCCGTCTTGTGCTCGCCCGACATAACGAAAAACTAGTGAAACCAAATCCTGGCGAAGCCAAGGCGAGTACTAATACACTAGCACTACTAACGTGACGGCTGCGGAATGGAGCGGGGATGGGAGCAAGCGATATCGATTCTCTCGATGTCAGATTGAACGTTGAACGTATGCGAATACTGCGAATCCGCGACAGATACGTATTTGCGTCGAAGCGACGTGAACGACGCACTCGTGTTGCTGTCGAGTCGTTCGCTTCACACCCGTTGACGTCGGGAAAGCGAGAAATCCGCGCGAGATACTAATACATCTTCATTTCGCTCCATTTTTGGCTTATTTATCATCAATTACGGCGAACTTCACAATGGCGAACAAACGCTACGCGCTGAACATAGCAACGAATCGACTTGATGTGCAAAAGTATCGAGAATATCGTGAGATATCAAGGCATGACAAGTGCGGCCTTCGCCGACCAATCAGCATCGCCCGCGCGTTCCTGGAATCACTGGGATGCGTTCTAAAACTTGATTCTATCAACTCCGAGTATCTTTTATCTTTATTTAATATTCGGTAACCAATAAGAATAAAATAATACTCGAATTGACAGAGTTGAATTTTGGAACGCAACTCTGGAAGGAGGAGATCACGTGATGTCGTTTCGCAAAACTCGAAAAGATGGCCGACTTGTTGGCGAGATACGGCATTTACATCGATGACTTGAGCAAAATACGCGTTTTAGAGCCGGAAGCGGCGAATCAAACGAATAAGTTGAAGGAGGAGTGTCAGAGCTTCGTGTCCAGTAAGTTGTGTTGCGTTCGCGAGTGACGTCACAACGAAGTGACGCAATGAATTTACTTGATTGACCGATTGTCACGATACTCACCCTTCGCATAATTATATATCGTCACCGTTTTATGGTTTCTGCACAAGAAAGTACACCTACACCTTTTGGCATGTTCGAGAATACTACCTGAGTGCCTACGAATATCATTTTATCCGTTGAACAACAAGAATAAAATGATATTCTCAAGTATAATAGTTTTCGAAAGCCTTCGGTAGTTGGGACGACTTTGAACTTTCGTTAACTTTTGTCTATTTCTAGTAATTAACTTTAATCTCGGTTTGACTTATCTTTTATCTTTTTGTAGTTCTAAGAATTAGAGTAAGATAAAAAAAATCAAAGAAAACAAGCGTCATGTTGTATTGGCTAATGTTAATTTTGCACATTGATGGAACTGGGACTTAAAACTGGAAAGATATAAAAAGTAACTTAAACCAAGATTAAAATTAATCTAAATTAACAGAAATGAATATTAGTATCAATTACAATTAATTAATATTATTTATATTATCGATCAAAATGAAAATTTGTAAAAGAAATATAACTTGACAGATGTATTTGGAATTATACGAGAAATTAAATGTAAATGAAATTATGATACAAAATAAACGATTTATCAAAGTTTGATATCAAAGTTTGATAGTTTGAAGTTTCTCTTTAATTTGAGCTCCGTTTAAAAAGTTGCACTCCGATGCTTTATTGTTGATCACATTTAATTATTAATATTGCTTCAAAAGTATAAACAATTGTCGCAATGAATGAGAATTTTTACGTTGCAGAGATTACTGAATTTGAAAAGAATTCCGACGAATTCATTAGGATATTGGACAATTTAGCAAAGGAAGTAGAGAAAGAGAAAATGAAGACGATTGGCGCGCGGAATCTGCTGCGTTCCGTTGCGAAGCAAAGAGAAGCCCAGAAACAACAAATGGAGGTTCTTAAATAATTACGTATCAAAAATACCTAATATTTACCAATGTGTATTCATCGTTTAAATGATAGACAGTTGCAAGATTTATGCTATCTTTGGCCGGTATTCGTAATCGGTTCTATTTTTGGCCATAATGAGTATTTATGATTAAATTTGACTATCTTGAACATTTCATCAAAATCGAATTAATTAATTCGGCGATTAATTTACCGAATAATATTTGCATTTATTAATTTCGATAGAACAATTAATTTTTTATTGTTTGACATACGAAAAGAAAGATTAGATTAATAAAGAGTTATGTATATAGTTGGAAAATTTATTATAAATTTATTCTGGTTAAGTTAAATTGCTAGTTAATTGAATTAATTATAATCAAAATTAACTTATGATTGGACCATTAATATCGCTGTGCCAATAATCGATTATCGCCTATTCTCATTATAGGCATTGATTTTGGAAAAGTCTGTGGAACTGGAACGGCTAAGAGTACAATACGATTCTTATAAAAAGATCGAAATGGAACAACTAGAAACTATCGAGCATTTATCAGTGAATTAATGTAATATAATTATAGCTTCCGACTGTATCTTTATTCTTGATTGAATTTTCTTCATTTTTTTGCCAATAAATAATACAATAATTTTTAAAAGCATCAATATTTATTGCAAATCAATGTTTTTCAAAGAATTATAAAAATAGTTTTGAAAAACTTACTCTGATTAACTTAATCGACAACTCGTCATATTATATCTGTTATGGATAGAATTATTTATTTTATTTTGTTGATTTGAAAAAGATCATATTTTATAATTTACAGTTTTTTATTTAGAAAAAATTCTATCACATAAGTTATAAACATCACTGCCAAAATTATTAATTTCTTCTTCATCAATATCACTGTCAATGTCGTCATCTTCTATAAGAGCTAATGATTTTATTTTTATTAATAAATCTTCTTTTTTCGGAATTGTTTCATCTTCATTCCTATCCTTATTGTCAGTTTCATCAGTATTCAAAGAAGTATTAGGTTTGCTATTATTTTCCTTACTTTTTACTAAAAATAAAGTAGAACAAAGGCTTCTTATTATATGAAAACATATATTCATTATGTGCATAATAAATATATAAATAAAATTCTCTTTAACAATACGAACACAAAATACATACTCGATTGTCGATTCATATAACGTAACAATGTTCTTCGTTTTCGTTCTGATAATGTTTTTAGAATTGCTTTAAATTCGGCATCTAATTTAATTTGTTCTTCCTTACTGCATGTTCCTTCTACGACTTCTGTCTTCTGTCCACATTTTGAACATACTCCTTGTTGTTTGGCGCAAAGCAAGCAGATATTATGATAAGAATGTTTCACAGTTTTTTGTTCACATTTAATACATTTCATTGGAGCTTTAAGCACTTTATATTTTTTGTATTTGATCTTCCACTCTATTATTTTTTTGCAACGTTCGCATACATTGGTAACTTCGGTACTATTAATTTGTTTTATTTTTTGAGATTTGTCATATAGATTATTTTTAAACGATTTTTGATTTTGATATTTTTGAGGCCTCGAACGATTAGCATTTCCTCTTTGACAACTCATGTTTTCTATTATATATTTTAATATTATCAAAATTTAAAAATAATACAAGAAAGGATTCTTTAAATTTTCAATCAATTATTGCAAATTTTATGACCTGAAAACAAAAGAAAATATAAGTTTTTTATAGTATTTTATTAATGTTTATTATTAGCTTCATTGTTAAATTTATACTCAATGCAATGTGATGTTATTTCCAACTTCAGTTTAATTGTGTTTCAAGTTTCACAAATCAAAACGATGCAATATATAAAACTGAAAAATGTATTTGTAAATCTACATATAAATATTATTATGTATGACCCTTTTTATACCGTTAAATCTGTCAGTATGCGTATCAAATTGATTAAATATTGATATTCTCTCTTTCACCGATCTGTTTCACAACAGATTTGGTTAGGTGACACGACATCTTTATTGTTTTACGAGAGGTAAATCTCTACTATCGATATCATTCGTACACTATCGCCAGTATATCCATTTATGGTTTGGAACTACGTGGCTACATCCATTTTCTGATCTATCGATAAAATCATAACATAGAGAATCACGGACGATTTTTAACGATAACAAGAAAAAGATCGACATGATCTCTTAGGTTTCTATCTGTCGCAGTGCTCAATCATGTGCTAAATTTCTTAAAAAAATATACATATTGCTTATAAAGTTTCGTAACAATATTCTTAAAATCAAGTTATTAATATTAATAACTTTATTTAGTTCTATTTATTAAATATTAAATGCATTATAATATAAATAATCATTATGCTCATTCGAGTTTGCAAGATTAATGCAATATATAATTTTGTTCATTTTCCGATACTGCGTATATACAAAAAAAACCTAATGTCATTTTCCATTTCATATACAAGTAAGCGTAATGATTATTATCATAATTTGACACTTAACAATAAAATATTGTAAAACTCAGTGAAGTTGTACTGCTATATTATTTTAATTTAAAATTTCGCTATAGAACTTTAAGTAATAAGTATATTTCTATATTTGCTCAATATTTAAATAATACGCAATTTATAATTTATAATTTATGCTTTCTCTTTTCCTTTTTCTAAAAAATTGTAATTGAAATAGAAATTTGTAAATTTTCTCAATTCGTCATCTGTTACGAATAACAACTATTGATTAGTAAATTTTTAATTTGATAAACGTACAAGCATATAATTTTTCATTAATTTATAATTTCGATTTTCGCATTTTTTAAAAATTGATTATTTTTATAAGTTCGATTTTTTTTTCATACAATTTCTTTGATAGCCGTCATCTATTTATTCTAATTGGTTTTTAATTTTCAAAAAGAATATAATTTCTAACGCTTTTATGTTTGAAGTTCTACAATAATGTGAACTATATGTTAAATACGCGCTAGTATCATAAAAGCACATTCTGAATACATACAGGCTTTTCTATCTTCGCGAAACGCACAGTGCCGAATTCCAAAAAAAAATGATATTTTCTTGCGCGTTGCGTTTAATTATATACTCCAACCGAAAGCTAGCGCGATCCAATGAGCGCTCGAATTCGCGTCTATAACGCTCATTGGCTGGCATGCGAGTGATGGGGATCGAAGTTTGATGCCTATAAATAGCGCGTAACTCGCAGCAGAACGTTTTTGTGATTCGGCCGGGGAGAGAGTTACGTCCTGTCAAATTGCGTTGGAATATTTTGCAGTTCGCACTGTTCGCAACTTGATTTCGAATCAATTATTTATAACTTATAACTTATTTCCTCCTAGAAGCATCCTAATCTTTGCAGAGAATCTCTATCACTCCTATCAGAAAAACGATGAGAAATGGCTTGAAGGACTACTGGAATTATTTACCAATGAGGTAATCAATAATTAATAAATATTGTTAAATTATTAACATTTTTACACGCGACGCGAGAAATACATTAAGAACCTATCGTTTTTATAAGCTCTTAAAGAGTTTTAAAATGTCTTATGCGTTGTAAAAATATTAATATCTCTATGTTACTCATGCAAAGTTGTAGGCGACAGTTTAATACGATAGGACGTGTAATTAACTTTGCATTTATTTTGGATAACATTTTAAATATCGCGTAATATAGATTCTAGTACTACTAGTACATTCATGATTATTCAGTTGAAAGTATTTTTCTCATTTAATTGAAACTCAAGACGCGTCATGCCGTCGAATCTCGCGTCGTTTTTTCCGCATGAAGTTGGTCGAGTATAGAAAATGACGTTTCCCTATTTCGATCGCATTCACATTTCATTCGCGGAATGCAGTGGATAGGAGATGACACGTCGGAACGAATAGCTTTCAAACGAGTGGCAGCGCCATCAAATATGGTAATTAGAACCTAAAACTTATATTTAATCATTTAATCATTTATAAAACTTATATTTAATCATTTATCGATATTTAACTACTGCGTAACTATAGATTCAATATTTGTATACTAATGATCCGTTCTTGAATGCGTATTTCGTAAAACTTGTTCGGCCGAAAGTGTATCACCGCGAATAATTATAAAAAACAAACAATGTTAACTTTCATGATTTGTAAAGGTATCTTTTTACGTTTGACGCTCTCATGTAAAGGCTTCTTAACAGTCTAGCATCTATGGAGTTCGTGCCTTGTCAGTCTTATATTATGGTCGTGATATGTTTAACTGTGTCCGATCATGGCATCTATAATATAACGTGATTAGCATGTTAACTTTCAATGACGTCGCACTGACTAGTGACTGATGGCACTATCAAACAAAGAAAAATCTAAAATTCGTAGAATGACATAATTTAATGTAATTACTTGTAAATATATAAAATGGATTTAATAAAATGGCAAAAATTTTACTCTGTTGTAGATACCGGCATTCAACGTTTAATTAATTCTCATGACGTGATTTGCATATTGTTCGATGCAACGTTCCATATTAAATAACGAGAATGGCAGTTATTATTGGTGAGTTATTTTAGTTTTAATAACCATTTTCTGTTTGTTGAAAAATAATTTTTTGAGTACAAGAATAAAAATAAAAGCAGAGATTCAGTGATATCAAACAGCGTGATTGAAATGATAATGTCAACTTGCATGTTTATATTGTAGATTCTGTGATATATCTGTGTTTTGTGGCGATTCTTTGGGGAGTAACCAATCCATTTATAAAGAAAGGTGCGCAAGGTTTAGAGGATATCAGGGCCAAGTCAGTTTATGGACAATTTTTTAAGGAGCAGTTATTTCTCATTACTAATCTGAAGGTAATCTTGTATCTTTACATACATTTTACCAAATTAATCTGGAGACATGGTATTTATAGATACTCTCATTGTTATACTCTCAGTTATAGATTAGAAGAGCTCAGCAAACAAGCTGATGTTATTTCTCAATATTTTGAAAATCAGAGATTTTCATGGAATTTTATTATTGAGATTTAGGAAAATTTTATGAATTTTACTTTTAAATTTAAATTTTATCTTTTTTTTTAAAAACATTAGTTCTTGATAATTTTTTCTTGATAGAGAGTGCAAAATGTTGAAAATCAATTAGCAATAACTATGATATATACATTCGTTATTTATATACATTTTTGTGTTTCACAAGTTTTTATCAAAAAGAAATCAAGATGACAGTAGAAGACTCTGCAGAATTGAGTAACTCACTTATTTATATGTCTTATAAGTTTCGTGGCTCTAATTGTAGAAAATAATAGATACAGTCAAAAGTGTATTTATTGTGAAAAACTGTCTTCTACTATTTTCAATGTATATTTTGTTTGTATTGCTTGTACTCTAATTTCATTCCTTTATCAAGTTGCATTAAAAAAACTCTAATATTATCTTGAATTTTAAACAAAAATAGTTGAAAAATCCAGAAATACTCAAGAAATTTTTTTTTTACGTTTTCAGTAAATATCCTTGCTAGGTGTAATAGTATTTGCTAGGAGTAATACTATTTGTAATTCATTTTATTTCTTTTTTATTTCAGTACATCGTGCCGTTTCTCCTTAATCAATGCGGTTCGGTACTGTATTTCTTGACTCTGCAGAATAGCGACCTATCTCTGGCTGTGCCAGTTTCAAATTCTCTTACCTTCGTATTTACTGCGATTACAGGCTGGTTCCTGGGCGAGGAAAAAGTGCATAGAAGTGAGTATACGGGAACTTCTTCATTGTTAGAGAATGCTTTGAATTGTTAATTGCTTTATGATTTGCTTTACTTTTTAGATACTTATCTGGGAATGATACTTGTGTTGTGCGGAACCATGTTATGTTGTTGGGACAAATTGAATAAAACTGTGGAATTATGATTTGTACATTTAAGACGATCATTAAGCACGCATCGTTATCCTTCTTTTTCCTGTTCATCCATACTACCTGCCGATTAATCCACATCCTATGTAATGTGAGTAAATGATTAACACAATGATTAATACAATGAATTGAAATTCTTCTAATAAAGCAAAATCACAATATCTACTTGATTTTGCTTCTTGATATTATAAAGATATGATATTATATTTTAACATTATCATTAACATTATCATTAATATATTTTATTATTAATGATATGCTAGTTTACATTCATCATTGCATTTATTAATCTTACAAGATACTTGATTTCGCGTTTAACGCATCTTATAAAGAGGAGCAATGTCTGTGTTAATAGATAATAGGTTTTATTCTTAATTCCGTACAATATCGTCAATATATATTCATGATATTTACATGCATATCGTTTAATGATCCATATGTACACATACACACGTAGATAGCACCGGGTAGGAATGAAATAGTAATTATGGTGCAAGATGACTATGTCACCGTATTTAATTTGTTTCTTTATCCACGCAAAAGCGTATCACAGTACAACAGATAATGTCTAGCGTCGCGCGTTTTATTTCTCTACACTGTTATAAAAAAATGATGAAAAGCGTCTCTCGACTTGCGTCTGTCGAACGTAG